TCTTCTGGGTTCTCACAGTCCTTAGCCTCAAGTTTGTCTTTGAGATGCTGCTGTGTCAGAAGCTAGTGGAGCAAACTCGAGAGCTCTGGTTCGGCCTGATCACGTCTCCGGTCTTCATTCTCCTGCAGCTGCTCATGATCCGCGCTTGTCGCGTCAACTAGCCTCGTGCAGGGGCTGGAAATGGAGCACCGCCCAGCTGGAGTGCTGGATCTCCCAGTTCAGACCCTACTTGGCGCCACACTGGAGGAGCTTTGGTCAGAAATCAGTGTCTGCTTGTGCCCAGCGTACTGTCCAGTTTTCTCTATATCTAAGATTGTTTCCTCAGCTAAACTTAAAAGTGAAGCCTTGATTAGTAAAATTTATTTCCTGGTATTCATGCTATGAGTTGTCAGATAATACTGAACTTTTCTGACATTTGGAAACTGTGTATAAGTAAAAATATCTTGATAGACTCTGAGTATTTCCCATGGTAATGTACCCTTTTCTAAATCAGCTTGTTCACTCAGCAGCCCTGACCACTGACCTCAGCGCTTGCCCCTCCATCGGTCCAGGCCAGACTTGTTAAACCATCGATCGATAGTGTGAGAGAGCTTGCGTCACTCTTTCCTGTCCAGGGAAAGAAAAGTCCTTTCTTCATTTCATCCCACACAGAGACATCAAACTGTTGCAAAAGGGCACGAATAGGATTATCTGCAGTCTGAGAAAAAAAACTCTTGGTCTCAAGGCATTGCTTTCCTGGCCCAACAGATTGCAGTTTCACAGCGATCCCCACCACCTGGTGGCAGGCATCATTAGTACACCTGAGCTAGACAAACCTCTCTGAAGGACCAAAGACAGGAACAGGTTCTCCAGTGCTCTTGGCAATGGGTACTTTACATAAGAACTTGTGAACAACTTGAGTTTATTGACCCCAGGTCTTTGATTTTATGTCAGTCGTGTGCCAAATGAGACCATTTGCTGAGATGGAAAGAATGTTTCTTGAAATCAACAATATATACTTAGACATCTCAGTGTTTGAGTAGGTGAATGTGAAGATGTTACTTGCCATGTGGACAGCGGCTCACAGGGCTGAAGTGGTTGGTGCCCCGGAACATATGGTAGAGCACAATGGGTGTTAGACTAAATATTCTTGGAAAGTTCTTGTTTCTTATTTTAGAAGATGGGTAACTTGCACCACTACTGTCCCAGCTGAAAACAATAGGCTGTATGTACTTCCTAGAGCGCCATAACAGAGCCCTTGACTCCGTGTTAGTGTAGATGCCACTGGTGAGCTCTGATGACACCCTATAAAGTTGAAAAATGATGGCCTGAGGTCTGGTTTTTTTTTTTTTTTAATGGCCCAGATCTGAGAATCAGAATAGTTTTTTACTTTTTTTTTTCTAAATAGGGGAGATCCACCTGTCTCTGCCACCCAAGTGCTGGGATTAAAGGTGCTACTACCACCTGGCTTAACTTCCAGTTTTATGTGATTATGGTAATCAAACCCAGGGCATCATGTGTACTAGACAAGCATTATATTAGTAGTACTATTACTACTGAAACAGGAACTTCGTAACCTTGACTGACCTGGAACTTACTCTGTAACCGTACCTCAAACTCATAGAGGCTGGCCTCTCCCTCCCAAATGCTAGCATTAAAGGCATGCACCATCACACCTGGTTTAGGCAAGCATCCTACCAACTGAGCTACATTATGGTTTTTACATTTTAAAATTTCTGTGTGTGGGGGGGTAAGGAGCACATGCGCCATACCACTCATACAGGTGATTTGTTAACCTTGTGATATCAGAACACACTCAGGTAGTCAGTCTGGCTTGCAAGCACCTCTACCTGCTGAGCCATCTTAAGCTCTAAGTTTTACATTTTTAAAGGATTTAAAACAGGATGTCGCAGTGTTTCCTGAAGTGGCTGTAAAACAGAAAGAAAGGGGGAGAAAAGGGACTTGGGGCTATAGCTTCATTGTTAAGAGTGTTTACCTGTCATCCCCGATTGGGTGCAGTGGAGGAGGAGGACCACAACTACAAAGTCATCACTTTGTAGTGATGTTGGAAGCCAGCCTGGGCTGTGAGATGCAGCAGCCTGAGAGAAGAGCGGAGTGGAGTCTAAAAGAGCATCAACAAAAGTTAATAGTTGACAGATCTGATGTGACCTGCAGAGCACAGTTTCTTCAGCAGTGCTGGATCTTTTTTAAATCAAACAAACAAAAAATCAGGGTGTGTAGCCTTGGCTCTCCTGGAACTCCTTTTATAGACCAGGCTGGTCTTGAACTCAAAGAGGTCAGCCTGCCTCTGCCTCCCAAGTGCTGGGGATAAAGGCGTGCACCACTATCGCCCTGCTAGATCATTCTTGCAAAAAAAAAAAATCATTTAAGAAAAGGATTTGCGGGCTGGAGAGATAGCTCAGAGGTTAAGAGCATTGCCTGCTCTTCCAAAGGTCCTGAGTTCAATTCCCGGCAACCACATGGTGGCTCACAACCATCTGTAATGAGGTCTGGTGCCCTCTTCTGGCCTGCAGGCATACACACTGACAGAATATTGTATACATAATAAATAAATAAATATTTTTAAAAAAGAAAAGAAAAGGATTTGCCGCGTGGTGGTAGCGCACGCCTTTAATCCCAGCACTCTTTAATCCCAGGAGGCAGGGGCAGGCAAATCTCTGTGAGTTCGAGGCCAGCCTGGTCTACAAGAGCTAGTTCCAGGACAGGCACCAAAGCTACAGAGAAACCTTGTCTCGAGAAAACCAAAAAGAGAAAAAAGAAAAAAGGATTTATATGTGGGTGTGCACCATATGTGCAATGTCCATGGAGGCCAGAAGAGGGCATTGAAGCCCCAGGAATGAGTTGCAGCTGTATAGGTTCTCTCACCAGCCCAGTCAGTTTTTACTGTGGCTGCAGAGACTGTCCTGAAGATGTAGGATGTTTGTAGTGTGCCAGGCTTTGCTCACTGGATGTCAGGAGCAGCCTTCATCTGTAATAACCGAAAGTTTCTTGTGACATTGCCATGTCTCCTGGTGACAGAGTCACTAGGCTAATAACTGCATGTGGCCCTTAGCATAACAGGGATGCTGATCTGTGCTCCAGTACGGCAGCTTGCCCCTCCTCTGTCTGGGCATGGCTACTTTAGCCTGGCTAATTTGCTCCAGCTGGAAGAAAATGTCTCCAACCCAAGATAGGGATGACTTTTATCAAAGCAAGATACAAGCTGAACTTTGGAGTGGTTTTCCTTTAACACTTCTTAGATTTTGTTTTGTGTTCCTGTTTTGTTTTGGTGATTTGGAACTGGGAAATCTGAGTAAAGAAGCCTTGAGTAAGGGCTGGAGAGATGGCTCAGTGCTTAATAAGAAGCCGTTGAGTGTTAGAAGCAGTGATTTGAAGGGTTGTAGCTCAGTAGTAGAGTGCTTGCCCAGCATCCAAAAGGCCCTAGGTTCAATCTCTGATGCTATCTAGAGAAAAATAAAAAGTGATTTGGGAAAGGCTTCCGGATAGCTGAAATTCAGTTTATAATCTCCTAATGGAACGGGCAAGCAGGTAAGTCAGCGTTAAGGTGGTGCCAGATTGTAGACTGCCATGCACCCAGAAGCCAGCAAAGGCATACATCCCTAGGCGGAATCCACTGTTTTTGCAGAGACCCACAGTCCATGAAACAGAGCTGGCTGTTGTCTGTAGGGCAGATAAAGGAAACAGAGACTTCTAAACTTGGTCTCCAATTTTCTTTGTTTTTCTTTCTTTTTTCCATTTATTTTCTTTTTCTTTTGGTTTTGGTTTTTCGAGAAAGGGTCTCTTTAGCTTTGGAGCCTGTCCTGGAACTAGTTCTTGTAGACCAGGCTGGCCTCGAACTCATAGAGATATGCCTGCCTTTACCTCCCAAGTGCTGGGATTAAAGACGTGCGCCACCACCACCTGGTTTATTATTTTCACGACGGCTTCTTTGTGTAACTATCCTGCAACTTGCTTGGTAGACCAGACTGGCCTCGAACTCCTCCTGCCTCTACTTCCCAAGTGCTGGGATTTAAGTTGTGTGCTACCACTGCCCACTGCCCGGTTCCCCAATTTTCTAATGCTACCAGACAGTTGCCTTACTGTGTACACTGGAAAGGGGGTAAAGATTGGGTAATATGCAGTTCTGCCCAAAGAAACTTCCTAAAGACTTGTCGGCTGTGAGGTTGTTGGGTTTTTTGTTTGTTTTGTTTTGTTTTCGAGACAGGGTTTCTCTGTGGCTTTGGAGCCTGTCCTGGAACTAGCTCTGTAGACCAGGATGGTCTCGAATTCACAGAGATCCACTTGCCTCTGCCTCCCGAGTGCTGGGATTAAAGGCGTGCGCCACCATCGCCCGGCCTCGGCTGTGAGGTTGTGACCCAGTCACTGGCCCCTTCCCACTCTTGGAGGGAGTTCAACAGAACTGGAACTACCCTTACCCTAGTTTTTGTGCTCTTTTGTGTGACAGAACTGCCTAAGTGTGTGTCGCTCTGCTTGCATGTGTAACCTGTTCGTGTGTAGGTTACACACACGAACAGGTTACACAAGCAAGCAGGTGCGCAGGGCCAGAAATGGCAAACTTCCAGAGGCTCACATACATAGGTCTAATCAACAGCTCTGGGATCTACAAAACCGAGATTCTCGAAAAAACAATTTTCTTATGCCTGAGTGGATCTCAGACGCAGGATTTCTAGGTCCTGAAGGGGCCCTCGCCTGTCTGTCCGCTGAGGTTCAAGGACTCCTGATTGGAGCAGGGCCTGGGCCCAAAGGTGGAAAGCCCCGTGCGCTTGTTTACTGCCCACGGGAGCAAGGACCTCCCAGCTCTTGCGCACGGCTCTTGCCAAGAAACCAGAGTGGTTGCCTGGGTGTCGAGGAAGTACCAAGGTCATCTACGTAGCAAGGGTCTGCTAGGTGCCGTGCCAAAACCAGCCCTAATTGTGGTCCACAGGTGCCGCGTCCAGAGGGCAGAGGCGGAAGTGAGGGGCAGCCATTGAGCCGTGTCCACTGATCTTCACCAATAGCGATTGGCCGGTACCGGTTGTAGTCCAATAAGGACGCCTTAGGGGGAGGGTGTAAGTGAGTGTCCTCCAATCAATTGGGCCGTATACCTCTCCCATTGGCGGGCAAGTCTGCCCTTGGGTCAGAGCGCACTTGCCCAATTGGCGGCTACCAAGGGGGGCGTGGCACGGCGCGGTACTGAGGCAGGTAGCTGAGAGTCTGTCCGGCGGCGAGCTGCAGCCTGTGCAGTCCCGTCCGCGGCTGCGTCGGCAAGCATGGCCGGCCTAGGGCGGCCGGGCCCGGGGTCGCGCACCGCGATGCCCGCCTGGAAGCGGGAGATCCTTGAGCGGAGGCGAGCTAAACTGGCCGCCCTGAGCGGAGGCCCGGGACCCGGAGCGGCGCCGGAGGGACAGAACGAGAAGCTGGTTCTGGCGGAGAGTCTGGGTCCGCTGAGCGAGAACCCCTTCATGAGACTTGAATCGGAGCGGCGGCGAGGGGCACGGCCGGCGGAGCAGCTGCTGGAGCTGTACCGTCGCGTGCCGGGCGTGCGTACCATCCGAGCCGACAACATCCTCATCATCGAGTCCACTCCTGGCTTCCCGCCCGCCTTGCCGCCCGCTGCGGGCATCCGCGCTGCCGAGGTAGTGGTGTACGAGGCGCCTCAGGAGGCGCCTCAGCCGGGCCGTGTCAGCCGACTGCTGGAGAAGTTCGACTCGCCGTCCTCCCCCCGCAGCCGCGGGAGCCCGGAGCGCTCCCACTCTGGGCTTCCGCAGCTTCCCGTGGCGCCTCCATCTACTGCCACGCGCGCTCCCACCAATCGGTCGTTGGCTTCTGCCCCATCGGTGCGTCCCAGCCAGCCCGCACTCCCTGTTTCGCCTGTTCTCGTTGCCCCGCGCGCGAGTCAGCGCTCCGCCTGTTGCGAGCCCGCGCACCCCGATGGTACCGCGGGTCCTGGGGCCCGGCGCAGCGACTTCCTACGGAAGACGGGGAGCAACTCCTTCACTGTCCACCCCCGGGGCCTGCCCCGCGGTGCGGTCAATCACTCGCTTTCTAATGGACCCGTGACCCAGAAGTTCCCGGCCGGCCCTGTCAATGGGTTGTCGGGCTCTCCTCCTGTTCCGGGCAAGTGGAAGCCAAAGGTGGAGTCAGGGGGACCCTCCCTCCACTCACCCCCAAGCCCTGGGACCCCAAGTGCCACTCCGGTTGGGCCCCCTGCCATGCCGGCGCCCAGCCCAACCAGTGCCACCCCCAACCAGCGCCGGTGGGTCTCCTCTGCCACCAGCGCCAATGACTCCTTCGAAATAAGGCCAGCCCCCAAGCCAGATGTGGAAACTATCCCAGTCGGGGACCTTCAGGCCAGGGCCCTGGCCAACCTCCGTGTTAACTCCCGCAACTCCTTCGTGTTGATCCCCAAGCGCAAGGCCCTTGGGAACCATCCTTCGGAGGGGAGGCAGTCAGAGGAGCCAAACCGGGAGGTCGGCTGGGCCTCTCAGAGCCAGGGTCTCAGAGCCCAGCCGGTGTCTACAGTGGATGGTGCGCCTGTCCTAGAGAGGAGTACCTTGACTGCTGAGATGCAGTGGGCAGCTAGGGAGGAGGGCTGCCCCCGGACAGCCACCGCTGTCACAGACAGGTCTGTTAGGTGGCCGCAGTCATCCTCACCACCTCCATTCCTACCAACCACTGTTGAAGCAGAGCCGACTGAGGGCTTGGTTCCTGGCTTGGCCAAGAATGGCCAGGAGCCTGGGCGGCCAGGACTTCCAGTCACCTTCATTGATGAAGTAGACTCAGAAGAGGAGCCCTCCCAAGAAGCCCAACTGCCCTCCTCAGCAGTTGGTGGGTCCCCCCAGTACCGCCTGCACCTTGCCAGGCCTGGGCACACTGCAGAGCTCCCGAACCGAGGCAGCAACACTTTCATAGTGGTGCCCAAGAGGAAGCCAGAGACCCTTCAGGAGCCACACTTCAGTCGGGCCAATGGGCAGTCCCAGCAGCAGGAGACTGAGGAACAGGACGCTGACAGCCTCTCAGGACCCCACCCAGCCCTGGAGAACACCCTTAAGAAACGCTACCCCACTGTACATGAGATTGAAGTGATTGGTGGTTACCTGGCCCTGCAGAAGTCCTGCCTCATCAAGGCTGGCTCTTCCAGAAAAAAGGTAAATGGTAGGGAGAGGGCTGCTGGCATGGTTGGTTTCTGGATAGATGACAGACTTGGGCTGTGTGGTTGTGCCAGGTTCTGGGCCCTTGTGGAGCTAGGACAGTTCAAGGCTGGGGTTGGTCAGCCTGCTGTTTACCCCCGAGGTTTGGAAGGAAGAGCTAGCCAGGCAGCGCGGAGCCCCTGCAACTCTTTGGAATAGTTAGTTCCACTTTGGAATGGTTAGTTCCAACTAATTGCAGGTCTACCTTCAGGAAATAGCCTGGCCTGTTGGCTCTCACTTGGTCTTTAATTTGATAAGCCTGGCATATTCCTATGGAGCCTAGCTTGGACAGATAATCTAGAGCCTGGATATGAGAATGTAAATGAGAAGCTAGGGCAGACCCTCCTCTGAGGTCAGCCTGAACACATAGCTGTGTGGAGCCAATTGAAGGTTCGCAGCACCCTGGAAGGTACAGGAGCTAGAGCTTGGCAGGCCTTTGCCTCTGTAAGCATGGACTGAGCACCGGTGCTTCCTGCCAGACTCGGTCAAGAGGGCCTTGAGCAGAGAGATTCAAGGAACAATCCCCTAGAGGCTCAGAATTGGCCAGAGCCTTATTTCCTGTCTATCTCTGGTTAGTGGCTTGGAACCCTCTGGGTACAAGGAAAGCGTTCCTCAGATTCTTCCTGATTGTTCCAGGGTCCGTGTTTGTCCCCTGGGGCAAATTCCAAGACCAATCGCACATGACTTTCGGTCAGCTGGTAAAGGGAGGTGCACCTTTCCCTTCTGCCAAGATGGCACCCACAGTTTCTGCTCCAGAACAGCTAGAAGCTAGGCTGCCCGGGTTCGCCACCTCCAGCCTCAGTTTCCATGGGGATCCATTGTGACGAGCCACACATCCTCACTCTTTTTATTTTTCCCCTCACTTTCTGCTTCCTGACATCATTGGCCTTGGCATCATCTTCCTTGCCAATTAATCTGCTGGGTCAGGAATCTACAGTGATCACTCTTGGGGGATTCTGGTGAGGACACTCAGAGCTGTAACAGTTTTTACCACGTGAGCCCACATCTCTTCCACTCTCGTCTGTTCTTTACCCTGAGTTCTTGGGCCATATTGACCCAGACCCCTTCTTTCTACTCCTTCCTTCCCTGTGACCCTGACCTTGCTATCTCTGAGGTGGCCCCTCCCCGTACTTGACAAAGAAGTGATGAAAAGCACCCCTTATGTTGAGGAGGAAGCTGAAGCTTGGGAGGTTCACGAAGCCATGGAGCTCATGGGACAGGAGCTGAGTTCAGATTCCTGTTTCTAGAACCTTTTATCCGGGGATACTCCTCCACCATGAACGTGGCTTCCTCTTGAGACTGAAAGGCTGATACTAAGCCTGGCTACCCTGCCTGCCCTGTCTGGAGGCAACTGTGGGAGTCATTCCTGGTTGGTTAAAGTGAGAAGAGCAGGTGTGATGTTCATGTAGATCTCAAAAACAAAAGCAGGGCAAGGCCCAAATACTGTTGGGGGTAGGACCCTGGCCAGCAGCTTGGCTGTCTGGGCCAGTCTGAGGGAGTTGGGGGGTCCAGATGGACGAGGCTCATTACGGCCAAGTGGCCTGGGCAGGGCCTTCTGTAGCAGCACAACCTGCTGGTTGTGCTGTCCTGCCTGTGCATGCACCAGCTGCCCTGCCCAGCAAGACACAGAATGCCTGTGGGAGGGGGCAGGGCCCAAAGCTGCCCAACCTTCAGAGCAGTGTGCAGGGTGAGGCCTTCTTGGACTTTGTCCTTTCCCTGACATTCCTCCTACCTGCAGCCCCTAGAGAAACCCAGAGTGTTTGTTTTGCTGCTCAAGTCATTGTCCTGGCCCAGACTCGGGCTTCCTCTTGGTGGGAGTAGGTGGGCCCAGAGGATTTTGGGGCCTCTGCACACTTTGGTTCCCCTCCCCCATGACTGGGTGACCCCAAGGCAATGCCCGTGGTTTTCCAGGGAACAGCTGAGGGGTGCTCTTCACTGGACCTTCTAGGCAGCAGGGTATGGTGTAGGTAGCCTACTTGGAGAGCATATTGTGACTTCACAGGGAATCAGCCCTGCTCTGGGGAGTGAGGGCTGACTTTATTGACCAGTGTCCTTGAGAGGCAGCTTGGCAGAAACATTCCATTTAGGTTATCTATTGGGAAAGAGAGTCCCTCTCTGCACCTCTCTTCCCTCCTAGCCCCCACTGTTCTCTTGGCAAGAGGGGTGTCCTTTTACCCCTTCCTCCCTGGTTGGGATCACCAGTGGCTCCTACCTGGTTGGCTGCTTCTTCCTCTTTCCCACCTCCTGTTCCTGTGCCACACCCAAGCATGTTAGTGTCCTCAGGGCTCAGGCTCCCCCGTTCCCGGCAGGTGTAAACTTCACCCCAACTTTCTGTGGCCCAGTTGTGGCCCTCAGCCTGGCTCCCCTTTGAAGGTGCGTCTGTCCTTTTGGCTGTCTCCAGCAGCATTGGCTCCCCTCAGTCTGCAACTAGCTCCCCCAGTGGAAGTTGGCCTGAGTGTCTTCTCACCTGCCTTTCTTTATGTGCAGTTTCTCTCCTCCAAGTCTTCTCATGGGTGACCCCCTAGAAACTGGACCCTAATTTATGAAATCTCACTGGTGCAGGGTCTGCCCTCAGGAGGAAGCAGGTGTGGTTATCCCAGTTAGGTGGCTCTGATCTATTGTCCTGTCACCCTTGGGAACTTTGGCTGGGGGCCAATGGGGGGGGGATGGGAACCAGACAGTGCGCGCAAGGGAGTGGGGGCAGGGTCTGGCTAAACATCACCTTCAGCCGGGCCAGTGGAGCAGTTTCCCTGCTTTGAGTCCCAGGGTGGACACCATTTGGTAACCCAAGCTGGGTGTGTATGGGTAGGGCGGGTTGAAGGAGAACAAAAGGGCCCTGTAAAAGCTGGGAGGTTCTGCCACTAAAGGCCCCCGTGAAAGCCCAGAGGTTCCATCACCTGCCTGCTGTATGAGGTGTGCTGGGTAAAGTCCCCCAGATACTGATGACCAGGTATATACAGTGACAATCCCTGTCTGTACCTCCCCCGCCTGCCCTGGCAGCTCCACCCTGGCAGGGGTCATAAGCATGAGTCACCCATGTGACCCACTGACCTCTGCTGGGAGGGAGGAGGCCTATGAACACTGGTCTGGCAGAGGAGACAAGGGAGATAGTAAGTGACTGGGGGGGGGGCAGCTGAGACTGGCAGGCTTATGAGCCACTTCCCCACCCCCAGCCTGGCCAGGCCGTGCCAGGCACTATACCCACATAGATCTATCCCCTCAGCCTCCCTGCTGGGAACTGGTCATGCAGACTAATGAGGGTGTGCTAATCCAGCTGGGCCCTGGCAGCTGGTCCTGTTTTCTCAGTAGTAGGGGGGATGGGACTCAAGGGCTCCATCCAGGGGCCACTTAGGTTTAGAAGGCCCTCTACTGTCTTGGGCTCATACTAGAGTACCTGTCTCAGAAGGCTAGTCAGGAAGGCCAGGTGACAATGTCTACCTTATCTGTCTCCAGTTCAATCTAGTCTTCAAGGACTAGGTAGGCCTCTGAGGCCAGAGCAGGGTACAGTGCGCCTTCATTATGACAGGAGTAGACATCTCCTGACCCAGGGGAGTCTCTCCAGCTCCTGTTCATATGTGCAGATGGCCAAAGTAGGGAGGACCTGCAAGAACAGATCTCTCTGAGCAGGCCCTGGTCCTGGGGCAGGGGGAAAATCTCCCAATGGGCAGAGAGGGCTCAGGGGTATGAATAGCCATGTGGGTAAGTGTGGCCGTTGGTTGAGAGGGACAGGAGGCAGGATGCCGGCCTGTTCAGGCCTCCTGCTTTTGTGGGCCCTTGTGCATTGTGGACTGTGCCAGGGTCACTTTGCCACCTCAGGACAGGCTCAACCCTCCTGCTAGGCTACTCTTCCATCCTGCTGGGCCTCTGGCTCCTTCCAGGGGAAGAGGGGGAACCTGAGCTGGCTGTCGGTGTCCTGTGCCTAGGAGTTTAATATTTCGAGCCCGGCAAGACTGCCCCATCTGCTGCACATGAGTGCTCATGTTCATTCCCAGCCCACTAGGCTGAGCGCAGCTGAGGGCTAGGGAACCTCAGCATTCATTCCCAGCCCACTAGGCTGAGCGCAGCTGAGGGCTAGGGAACCTCAGCAATCATAACTGAATCGCGGGGACAGGGATACTCTCAGCATGCAGGAGGATTGTGACAGAGGATGCCCACAGCTTTCTGTCCTTCAGAACCAGGCTACTGGGATAGAAGGGAGAATTTGCTTGAATATGAAATTCTGGAGTCACTGAGGTATACACAGTAGGGGCGGTCATTGATGGTATTGCTGGTACCCTAAACTCTATGGAAGTGGGACTCCCCACTAGCCTGAAAAATGCATGATGGTACCTAGCACCAATTTCCTGGGTATCAGCCTCTTAAGCAGGCTCCTGCAGGTCAGATACCCAGAACGTGGAATTAGTCTTAGGAGCTGCTGCAAGCAGAGGATGGGATAGGTGGGGCCTGTATCTCTTAGTAGAAGGGTCTTCTCTCCGTTAGTGCCTGTGCTTAGCTGGGTGGTAGGGCCCCTGCCGACGTGGCTTTTACTCCTAGATGAAGATCTCCTTCAATGACAAGAGCCTGCACACAACATTTGAATACCCTTCTGAGAGCTCCCTGGCCCAAGAAGAAGAGGAGGAGGAGGAGGAGGAAGAGGAAGATGGTGAAGAGGAAGAAGTGGGGCTTGACTCAGAGAAGTCCTTTTCCCTCTTCCTGCCCCGGGCCACATTTGTAAGCAGTGTGGGACCTGAGAGCCCCCGACTACCAGATGGCAGCTCAGGTAATCACCACCCGTTGGGATGGGCAGGCTGGGAGTGGAACCTGGGCCACATTTTCCAGGTGTCCATATCTATTCTCTTTGGCTCATAGGCCTGTCCAGCTACACTCCCAAGCATTCCATGGCCTTCAGCAAGTGGCAGGAGCAGACACTGGTGCAGGCTCCAAGTGAGGTGGAACTCCCACCAAAGGAGGTCATGGTAAGCCAGGTGGAGAGAGGGGTGAACACCCAGACCCCCATGGGCTAGCCTACTGGGGAAGGGGTTGATGCCTGGAAAGGCTTAGTGGCTATATTCTATTCTTTCAGCTCACACCTGCCAGTCAGAATGATCTCTCGGACTTCCGCAGCGAGCCAGCCCTCTATTTCTGACCCCTGGAGCTGCCAGGATGGCTAAGACTTAGCCCCAGGTGTGGTGGTTCTAGAAGCCAGTCAATGCCCAGGAGCCCTGACTTTATTCTGTACCCCTTCCATCTGGCTCTTCGGGCCTTCCTCTCTCCCTGTCGCCTTCTACCTTTAGGTTTAGGTCTGAATCTCACTCCCCTTTAGGGGTGCCAAGGAAGAACAGGTGGGAACTGCCTATGGGACAGGCTGACATCTGTCCATAACATCCCATCTGTGATGAGGTAGGGAGCCTGAACAGACCTTGCACCAGAGTGCTGTCTGTCCTGCCTCTTGGCTCCTACCTTCTGGGGAGGGGCCACTGTCAGGAGTGAGAGGCTGTCCTAGCTATTTGCTCTTTGTTGAATGAACCCCAAGCTCCTGCCCTTAGTCCATGATTCTACTATGGTGGCACCCTTCATGATAGATGATAGGGTATTTTTTTTTTCCTTTCTGATATTGGACTCAATAAACAACACTGTAACAAGGCTGCTTTTGCCTTTTTTACACAGTCCTCAGTCTGAGAATAAGGTGAAGGCCTAACTTGGGCACCTGTGCAAAGAAGTAAAAGGTGGCTTTAGTCTGGTGTTCTTATATCTTGAGGTCTTGCTGGTCCAGGCTCTTGCTCTTGTTCTCTCCCCACACTAAGCCTGCTACTTTCTTCCTCAAAGTTAGTGCAGTGGGAAGTGGACCTCCATGTCCACTGGGGTCTGGAACTCCATGACCCAGGGATATAGATGCCAGGTGGGAGGAAGGTGAGTGTTGTAGATGACAGGATTCACCATGGGGCCAGGAGCCTAGGAATGTATCTACTTGTGCAGCCCACAGGAATGGGGCTAAGTGGAACTTGGGAAATCTTTTCTCATGTTTGATTTGGATGCCTCCTGACCTATGAGACTGTAACAAGGCTGTAACAACAGAGAACTCCCAAGAGTTTAGGGAGATGCAGGGCTATCTACAGACATGTCACCTAAGGGCAGATATAATGCTCGACTTGGCTCAGATGGAGTGTATGTATGTTTTCCTTAGAGAATAAGCCCAGTTTTATGGACACTTTTTGTTTAAAAAAGGGCCTCACACTGTACCCCAAGCTAGCCTACAGTTTACTATGCAGCCTAGAACAGCCTGGAACTTAAGGCCCCCTTCTTCCTCAGTGCTGGGATTATAGGTGTAGACTATCAAATCTTTCTTCTGGATCTTCTTGGTCAACAAATACTTCCAAACTTGCCCGAGAAGTTGTGGTCAAGAGCTGGGCCATAGGAAATAGGAGTAAGCGACACCCGTGGTTGGGAGCAGGGTCCTGGCAGCAGCAACAGCAATATATTGGGCCAAACAGAACTTTGAGGAATGGACAAGATGAAGAACCTCAGTCCATGCTGAGACCTAGAACCAAATCAGCTGGTATATATGTTGGAAAGTGAGACTCCAGCCCTCTGATGCCCCCATATCCAAGGAGTCTGGGATGACTGGAAGCATCACCCCAGCCCGACATTCATCCTTGGGGTGCCAATGGAGCAGAAAACTCCATCTCAAGCCTCCTCCCTCTGGGAGTTGCCTTGGTCTGGACTCCACCTTCGGAAAAGCCCACCAAGCTCTGACCCCTCCACAGGGAGGGTCAGGACCACTCCCACAGGTTATTTAAGCTGCTGCCAAAAGGGACACATGGTTTTCGGGTTTTGCGCCCCCCCCCCATCACCTCGTTCCTGGCCACCCTGGAGTGCTGCATTTATTAAACGTGAGCATTTTTTATTAAGTCTAATTTGGTCTAACTGGAATTATTTGCATAGGTGGAGAGGCTCATCTTAAGAGCATTCCTAACAATATAGTGTTGCCAGCTGTCTTTGAGCCAGGTTCTGTACTGACCACCATAATATAGCAAAGCCCCCACAGGAAAGTGGTTTGTGTGCTGGCCTCAGGGAAGAGACTAGCACCTTTATAAGGAGAGTTAGGGGCTAGGGCTGGCCTCAACTGTGTTCTGAAGACAGGTCAGGGAAAACTGCAGGCCTTCCTACCAACAGGATACATGGTAGCTGGCAGACGATGCCACAGACCTTTGCAAAAACAACCTTTATTGAAACGTCAGAGGCCATGGGGATGGACCCTAAGGTTTCAGTTCTGGAGCCAAGAATCTTTCCTCAGCATGCCTGGCTGGGCCCCTAGTGGCTGAGGAGACAAAGTAAGGGGCTCCCACAGTACTTGGACTAGGACCAGGACCTTCCTGGCAGCCCAAGGAAATACAGGGGCTTCAGAGAGAGGCCCCTCATGGAGCTAACCAGGAGCTCAGGGTCCCCATGACACAGAGCTGGGAACTCCTTTCCTGTTGGAGTTTCCCTGTCCTAGGGCTTTTCTCGTCACCCAAGGCAGGTGGAGGTCGGAAGTTGTCCCTCTGGGCACCTGAGATCGTGGGAAGGCATCTGAGGCCACGAAGAACAGAGATGCTTTAGGACAGACACGTCGGGGACTGACTGGGCAGCCATAGGCCACGGCTGAGATGGGCACTTGTCAGCTGTCCTTGCCTCCACTACTCTTCTGGTCTGAGGCTGTGGCTTTAGTCAGGTTCCCAGCTTCCCTTTTGAGGACACTCAGCAGAGTCTGGGAGCTCTCCAGGATCTGGGGCCAGGGAAATAAAAGAATTGTTAATTTCTCTGGCAGGAAAATCCCACCGCCTCAGCCTCTCTCGCTGGAGTATGGGAATCTCAATCTGGCCTGTGCTGAAACCAACCGGCCACAGGGGGATATGTGTGTGTGTGTGGAGGGGGGTTAATCACCTACCAAGCCCTCCTCCTTCCCTGCAAAACCAAGCTGTTCTGGCCCACACCATATACTTTTTCCCATACACCGCTGCTCACTCCCCTCGGATCCCACAGACGGCTCCACCATCCGGCCGTACAGCCTCGGAGCCTAGCGAGGCACTAACAGGGCACAGCTGAGAGCCCCACCTTGAGGTAGGCGGCCTCGGTCTCGGCGATGGTCCGGTCAAACTCGTTGCGAGAGGCGATCTTGCGCGCCAGGTTCTCGTTGACGCGGGCCAGCTTCTCCGTTAGCTGCCTCACCTCATTCTGCAGCCGCTGCTTTTCGTCCTCCTCCTGCTGGATCTGCCGGCACAGCTCCTCTCGCTTCTGACACAGCTCCTCGATGCCTAGAGGGGGCGGGAAGACAAGAGCCATGGGCTGCGGGCTCGTGAGCTTCGGAGCCCGACCTGCTGGGACGCCACGGGGCAGGCCCGCAGAGCGGGGCTCGTGAAGCGCGTCCGCGCGGCCCCCCGGGTGGGTCGGCCGGACCCGCGCCCGCAGCCCGCGGCCTCCCGTGCCCGCAGCTCACACTTGACCAGCTCGTTGTTGTAGTTCTGCAGCGCCGCGCCCTGTTGGGTCATGGTCGGCGCCGCGCCTGGAAGCCTCAACCGCCGCCCGGCAGCGCCAATCCCGCGCCTGCGCACTGCCTCCGCGGCGCGCGGACCCACTACGTCATGGCGGCGCGCCAGTCCCGCGCCGATGTCATCACCGTGCGCCGCGTTGGGCGGGTCTGTTTTGTGGACGCTGATGGAGGCCGAGGCTGTGGCGGTGACGGCGGCGGAAGCGGTGGCAATTGCCACCGCCGATGACTGCGACCCTAGGCCTGGACAGGAGCTCTTGGTTGCTTGGAATACCGTGAGCACTGGTCTGGTGCCGCCGGCCGCGCTGGGGCTGGTGAGGCCTGGGAAAGGTTGGCGGGCCTGTCGGGTCGCGACTGCATGATTTAGGGAGTTGGGGCCTCACAGCTCCGTGCGAGCATCCTGTGATGGGTTTGCCCCCTTCCTCAGCTATCTGATTCGTTTGGTTCCCCTTGCAGCCTTTGACAGCTGAGTTTTTTCACCCCCCCTTTTTTTTTACTCCCACCTCCCCACCCCCCCTCACGGTTTTCCGTGCTCCAGGCATCTTCCCGGACCAGCGGTGGAGTTCCCCCAAAGGAGGAAGAGCTCCGTGCAGCGGTGGAGGTTCTGAGGGGCCACGGTCTGCACTCTGTCCTGGAGGAGTGGTTCGTGGAGGTGCTGCAGAACGACCTGCAGGGCAACATTGCTCCGGAGTTCTGGAATGCCATCTCCCAGCGCGAAAACTCCGTCGATGAACCGCAATGCCTCCAGCTGCTCCTGGATGCCTTCGGTCTGCTGGAAAGCCGCTTGGATCCCTACCTGCACAGCCTAGAACTCCTAGAGAAATGGACTCGTCTGGGCTTGCTGATGGGCTCTGGAGCTCAGGGGCTTCGGGAAAAAGTTCACATCATGTTACGAGGAGTCCTGTTCTTTTCCACCCCCAGGACATTCCAGGAGATGGTCCAGCGCCTCTATAGCCGTTTCCTGAGAGTCTATATGCAGAGCAAGAGAAAAGGAGAAGGGGGCACAGACCCTGAGCTTGAGGGTGAGCTAGACAGCCGGTATGCCCGCCGCAGGTACTACCGACTCCTGCAGAGCCCTCTGTGCGCAGGCTGCGGCAGTGACAAACAGCAGTGCTGGTGCCGACAGGCACTGGAGCAGTTCCACCAACTCAGCCAGGTCCTGTGAGTACCTCCTCCTTGGCCATGCTTCTGTTTCTCTGGATGCCCATTTGTCCTAAATTCAGTAGACCTCTATGTAGAGCTGGTCAACTGACTGGTGAGGTCTTTCCGTCTGTACCTGTTTTTATTATTTGAGACAGGGTTTCTCTGTGTAACAGTCCAGTCTGTCCTGGAACTCACTTTGTCTCAGAGATCTGCCTGTCTCTGCCTTCCAAGTGCTGGGATTAAAAGTGTGTGCCCCCACTGCCCAGCATAGCCAGGGATTACTGTGTAACACGTTTACAGTCGGTCCTGGACCTAGGTATGGGGTGTATGTCCTGCGTATCCTTTAGGGAAGAACCCTTGTAGGGAAGGGACAGATGTGTGTTGTGGGTTCTCCATGAGCAGGGATCTCCTCCAGGCATAGGCTCAGTCTGCTGGAGCGGGTCAGCGCTGAGGCCGTAACCACCACCCTGCATCAGGTGACCCGGGAAAGGATGGAAGACCGCTGCCGAGGAGAGTATGAGCGCTCCTTTCTGCGAGAGTTCCATAAGGTGAGACTCTTCTTCCTGGGCTGTGTCCTGTCAAGGCAAAAGTGGATTTTCCGCAGACATATGTAGCAGTAGGCAGGTTGACCAGGAGTAGTGATGGTTGAGGTTATTGTGGTGCTGGGTAGAGAGGCCAATCCTAGACAAGGTACTAAATAGGTACTGTGGCTAGAAGAAGAATCCTGGGCCAGAGGTGGCTCCAAGAGGTTTCCCCAGGCAAGTATGGCAAGATAGGCCAGCCAGACCCTCCTCTTTCCACTGCCGGACAAAATGTGTGCTCGCTTAACAGTTTCTCCTGGATTAACCTACAACCTAGTACCTGTACCCTAGCATAGAGGTAGGGTGTCCCAGCGGAGGCCTCTGGTTGTCGATACTATTGGGGTATAAGGTGTGTAATTCTGCTATGGGCTTCACAGCATTGTGAAAAAGCTAGGTTCAGCCCCATGAAGCTGTGTCCACCCTGTTTCTGCTTCACTCCCAACCTCCCATTTTTCAAATGTCTATCCCCTGTGGATGCATATTAGCCATAATGGGGCCTAGTCAGAGTGGGTGTCCCCACAGTGATAGCCTAGAGTCATGAGCTTGGAAACTCTTGGAGCGACCACATTGAGCCCTGGACAGTGGCATGTAGGTTTGGTGCTTTTGGCTTCCAGACATGGTGGAGGCTCCTTTAGGATCCTGCCAAAAGTGTGTGGTTACTGGGTCAGGCTGGCGCTTTTAATGTCATTACACCTCACACACACTGGTCTTCCACAGTGGATCGAGAGAGTGGTTGGTTGGCTTGGCAAAGTTTTCCTTCAGGACAACCCCAGCAGGCCGTGTTCTCCAGAGGCTGGGAACACACTGCGTCGTTGGCGCTGCCACGTGCAGAGATTCTTCTACCGTATCTATGCCGGGCTGCGCATTGAGGAGCTTTTCAGCATCATACGAGGTTGGTCCTGCCTCTGACCCTGCAGTGATTGCCTATGCTTTTCCTTCAGCTGTTGGCAGGGTGGTGCGCTGAACAGAGCTAGACCTCCTGACATGGCTGAGTCTAGAGCAGCACTTCTGGATAGCCACTCCTGTTTCTTTCATTTTGGCTCCTGCTTGGGACCGGCCCCTATGTGTCAGTCTGTCGTGTTGATGCAGTGTCAGCTGGTAGAAAATGAGTAGGACAGGGCTCATCAGTTAGGGTTTGTTACTGTCACAGAAGTCAGGTTCGGTTACCAGCGTCAGGGGGTCCGAAACCCTCTTCTGTCCTACAGTGCTGCCAGGCGGCACGTGGAGCACACAGACAGATAACATTCCTTATCCTTACATGCAAATGCTCATACATATAAAAGTTTTAAGTAAAAAAAGAGTTTGAAGGCAGTCCTCATTAATTGCAGTAGTCATTTGACAAAATTGTTTTTCTTTTCCCAAGAGACTGAAATTTAAATTTCACAGCTAGTACAGCATGGACAGTTCAGTTGTCTCCTTTTGTTTTGTTTTTTAAAGACTTATTATGTATACACTTTTCTGCCTGCAGGCCAGAAGAGGGCACCAGAACTCAATATATAGATGGTTGTGAGCTACCATGTGGTTGCTGGGAATTGAACTCAGGACCTCTGGGAGAGGAGCCAGTGCTCTTAACTTCTGAGGCCACCTCTCCAGCCCCCCGCTGTCTTCTATTGTACACCACAGGAGGGATGGCTGTGTTGTGTGAGTTAAGGCAGCTGTGGGTATCAGAGTCTTTGAGAGTTAGTGAGGCAGTCAGCTGTGCCTCTGGACAGATGAAACAGTCATCTCTGGTCAGATTGGCCTCTAGTGAAGGTTACATTGAAAATTACAACATTTTATACCTGATGGGTGACTCCTGTCTGAGCCTCTGCCAGATGTGTATCTTGTTCTCCCCCATCTCTCTCTGTCTATATATATACAGACACATACACACTTATACCATACATATACTATATATACATATGTATCTGTATATATAAACCCTATATTTGTAATGCATATATTTTATACTATATATAATACCTCTTTTAGTGTTTATTATGCCTTTTTTCTTACCTATTCCTGTGGCATGGTTCTCTTTCAGACTTTCCAGACTCTCGGCCAGCCATTGAGGACCTTAAATACTGCTTGGAGAGGACAGATCAGAGGCAGCAGCTGCTTGTGTCCCTCAAGGTGGCCTTAGAGACTCGACTCCTTCACCCAGGTACCATATGTAGCCACTGTGGACTGGCCATTCAAGTAGCTCTCAGGGCTTACATGAAGTTCTTGAGAAAGGAACAGGTTAAGAATGAAAGCAATTTATTTTAATTTATTTATTTATTTATTTTGAGGCAGGGTTTCTTTGTAGCTTTGGAGCCTTCCTGGAACTCAATCTGTAGACCAGGCTGGCTTCAAACTCACAGAGATCCACTCGTCTTTGCCTCCCGAGTGCTGGGATTAAAGGCATGCATCACCACCACCTAGTTTAAGAAGCAGTTTTTGAAGTCTTTGGGAGAGCTGGGTTAACCCTGAGGCTTTATCCATCTTTGGAGAAAGTCAGAGTCTGTTTGACTTGATCTAAAGGTTATAAGTGGTTTATGTATTATTTTTGTGACCAAATGCATGACAGAATCAACTTCAGGGCAGAAGGATTTCTTCTCTTGGTCTCAGAAGGTTACAGTCCATCATAATGGGAAAGGTATGATGGCAAGCCACAGACAAGGAACTCCAAGACTTCAGGAAGTAATGTGTTTCCACTGGTTCAACCCTGACTACTAAAGGCTCTTTTGTTTTTGTTTTGTTCTTTTTTTGAGACATGGTCTCTTTATTTGATTAGACTACCTTGAACTCACAAAGATCTGCCTGTCTCTGCCTCCCAGTTGCTGGGATCAAAGGCATGTGCTACCACACATGGTTTGGTAAAGGTTCTTGGACCTTTAAAATCGCACCACGAATTGGTAATCAAGCCTTCAAAATATGAGCCTAGCTTGGAGGTGGCAGCATATCCTTTAATCCCAGCACTCGGGAGGCAGAGGCAGGTGGGACTACAGAGTGAGTTCCAGGACAGCCAGGGCTACCCAGAGAAACCCTTTCTCGAAAAACAAAAACCATGAGCCTGTTGGGGCCATTCTAGAGTCAAACCCATAGCCGACTACTCCTTGGAAAATTCTGGTGATTATAAATCAGTTGAATCGGGTAGGGGCAAGAAGGTAATCTGCAGTCTCCTTGGATGAGGGTCACATGGTGACCTTCAGATCACCCAGCCAGTGTGGTTAGTTGCATACTCAAGTTTTGGCATTCAGGAGGCCACTGTCCAGGCTGCTGTATGATTTCTATCCCCTAATCCCCTTGCAGGTGTCAACACATGTGACATCATCACTCTCTACATTTCTGCCATCAAGGCGTTACGTGTGCTAGATCCTTCTATGGTCATCCTAGAGGTGGCTTGTGAGCCTATCCG